GTTGGTCTGTCTTTATCATAAATTCTGCCAAATGTAATATTCTGTCAAGGGCAAAACTCATTTATTAGCTTGTATAGACCATAAATAAACAATACATTTACATTTCTTATCAAAGCATCTTTTTATGTATTGCCAATGTCGACAACATCCTGTCAACAGTGTCTTTATTTTACCAATCCTCAACTTTTGTCACAGAATTTCTTTGAATATGGGTTCAGTTCAAACAATTTGGGGAAGAAAAAGCTAGTTGTTGTCACATTATATTTGTCATAATGAAAAAAACTATTTACAGTATTTCAAAATGATAAAGAGGATCATTTTAAATTAGGAGCACTGCTGGATGCCAGTACAACAAATTCGAACATTGTAGTAATATATCTCAGGAATACTGTGATCTTCTCACCTCAGGCTTTCATTTTGAGTCTCGGAATTTCCATTTTGGTTCTCTGTGTCGACAGCAGCTTTAAACTTGATGTTTTATTTACAGGCCATAAAAGCCCTTTGTCTCTTACAGTTGCAGCTTCGTCCTCATCTTCTCCACCGTTCCCCCCTCAGTGATGGGAGCAGATGTCAGAACACAGAGCGGCTCACGGTTGCAAGGCCAAAACCTCCAGCGAGCCTCCGGATTTCATCTGACAGAGAAATGTCAGAAACAAAAACAAGCTCGGGCATCGCGCCTGCAGGACGTTTGAACTTGAGCTGAGTTTCTGCTTAACAGGTGAGCATGGTTGTTTTTTTCTATCTGTTTATCTCTGCTGGCTCATCCATCTGTTCTGATCGCTGTGATGCAGTTGACGACAAGCAGCAGCAAATCACACTTATTACAGGACTTTGATTCTGTGAACTATTTTATTTTGTATCGTGTAAACACACATTTGAGAGCACATGGAGGGGGAAGTGATGAAATGTGAATATTGTCTTTTATAATTCATGATGGTGATGATGTGATGTGATTCTAATATCCACGACAATAACTGGTGTTTGTATTTATTTTGCAGGATCAACACAAGTCATTTGACAGGAGAGATTTTTTTCAGCTCCCAAGATGTGGACCCACTGTTCAGTTTGTCTGTTTGTCCTTCACTTTATTCCAGACTGAAACATCTCAATTATTATTGTGAGGACTGCTCTGAAATTCTATGAAGGTCATGATCCCAGAGGATGTTCATCCACTGTCCAGATTCAGGCAGATATTAGTGATTTATAGGAAAATGCTGCAACGTGTGCTGAAAGGATCCCTTCCTGTGGAAAATGCATGTTCCTGATGAAGCCAAGTAGAAGATGAGTTTTGAGAGCGATTTATCTTTTTAACATTGATATTTTAACACAACCTACAATATACAGTGAAATGTGGTTGAATAAATCAGGTCAAAAGGACTTAGTGGCAGTTGGGCCACGTGTAATTCATCTGGTTGTGTGGGCACCTCATTCATGGAGGCTTGACTCCTGCAGCAGCCGTGGGTACGATTCTGACCTTTGCTGCATGTCATCCCTCATTCTCTCTCCCGGATTTACTGCTTACAGTTCGGTCAATAAAGGTAAAATGTCCTAGTCTTTTACTCTTGAATAAAAAAGAAACAAAAAAGACTTTCTGCCACAAATCGAGAAGCATTATGAAATATGGAAGAGAACAAAACTTCAGATAACCGGGGAGTAACAGTTTTGAACTTTAGACGAAAGGACAAAGATTACATGTCATGTATTTTTGCAAATACTGTACTCAAACCATGAGTATAAACAAAAACGTGTTTCTCACTGTGTAATCGAATGGGGAGAGCAGTTCCTTTTATTAACACTAATTTGGTGCAAAGGGGAAAAAATACATTTGGGAATCTGCATATACTTCTGAGATTTATTCATATGTCTTGGACTTCACTGTCTGATCCGGAATATGAATATGCATGTGAGAGGAGAACATGATGAGGTGATGTAGTAATGTCACAGATACTGTTTCATGTTTAATGAGGAGCTAAGTAGTTTTTTTATAGATGTATGTTTTAATTTAACAGTAAAAGCTCTGTTGGCTGTAATATCAAGTGTTGCCTACTCCAAACTGTTTATACTGTAAAAGCAAGGCCGTCAACACACCTTCACACAGTTTTGTTTTTCTCTGTATTAAGTTTTGCAAAAACACGTATTGTTCTTTTTGTCTTGGACTGCATTGTATAGTTATATTTATATATATTTATAGTATAGTATATAGTGAAATCACGCTGTAAATCATTGGTTATATAACCCAAATATAAACGTTACCCAGCATCTGTTTGAAATTATTGATAAAAACTAAATATTGAATTTTAGTTTAAGTTGGAGGATTTATGTGTCAAGAGTTCCACTTTTTTCTGTAGGCATATATATTTTACACAAACTATGTAAGAAAGTTTTCATGTGTGCGATCTGCGCCATTGATTATCTTTCAGTCCAGATAAATAACTCTTGGCCATGAACTATAATTTATATTTCAAACTTTTAACTCGTAAATATGTCTTAAACTTATTTATAATCCCCTCAACAGGTGTCCACTATATTTAAACCACAAACCAGGGCGCGATAGAAACTGGTTCTCCGTGTTTTTAACCATTAGAGTGTAAATGTATAAAATACATCAAAATATGTGAAATGTATTCACTCATCTTCATGGCTGTCACTCAAAGACATTATCCCAGCCAGCAGCCGCTCATTATGCAAAATCAAACAAGACAGTGGAATTGAGTTTGGTGTCCCAGAGTAACATAAGCAAATATAGCCTGACAACTCATATTGCAGAAGACTTAGAAGTCTGCCTGTGCCTGGATATCCAGACAAGCAAGACAACGGTTTGGGCGACAACAGGCGTGAGATACCTTGTCTGCAGAGGGAGCAGAACAAACAACTTTCTAAGCCTCAAATCCACCAAATATGAGGGAAAAGACAGAAGTGCATTGGTGTGATCCTTAACGGAGATGTCCATCTGTGTGTGTGAGTCTTCTCAGATTCTCAGATCCTTCATGAAGCAGACGTCAGGAAGTCAGTTCTTGCACAGAATCATTTTGCAGCTGCTTTCCTTAGAAACAAAAGTTACTCTTTGCTTCAAAAGAAATTACTTCTATTGTTAAAACTTTTTCTCCGGGCTCTTACATATGGCAACATGTGATCTATATGGACCCAGGTCATACAAGCTTTGGCAGCAGATGCCTCATACTGAACCCTCGGGCTCCACAACTGTCAGACATGAGTGTATTTGCCAGGTGGTGCGACAGTGCCCTCCTGTGGAGCCATCCTCACTCCCACATCCGGCACGACTCACTTTAGATCTGTGTTCTTCACTCACTGACCACAAACCAGTGATGAGACAGTGATGAATGAGATTTTGACATCAAATCAAAAGACGACAATCAGAAAACCAAAACTTTGCCAAACAGTCCTCTTCAATTTGATCGTGCTCATAGACATTAATTCCCTATGTATGCCTGATTTTTTTTTGTCATCAAGATTCATAAATTATTCACCACATGGGTAAAAATATCAATAAATGCACGATAACTCAAAATATTTAAGATATAGATACAAAGTTCTGCCCCTTTGTCTGGATCCAAAATGTAATGGGGTCCATATCCCATTCATCCAAATCTGTTCATTCAGTCTTTGTGTGATCCTGCATAAAAAAAAACATTAGATGGGTGAAGAGTGAACCTGAGATAAAGAAGCATTAATGTAAAACTGTTTCCAAGGAGCTAAACACCTCTTCACACTGAGATCAATTACAAAATATCCCATATCCATAAAAAACCCCAGAGTGAATAATGACGGCGGGATTTTGTAACTATTACACCATGAGCAGCTTCCTCAGCTCAAACCCACCACTCATACAAATGTGACTTTTACTGCCTCTTTTTGTGAACATGATAAGACAAAGGTCCCAGTGATTTAGGCCTGTTTTGTCACCAAGGTATAAATTCAAGAGGCATAAAATACATTTACAGTGATTAAAAGTGCACCGAGTGAGTTCAGCTAAACTTTGACACATCTGACTAAACACTTGCATGAAAAAACAAAAGATTACAGCTGTAGAGTGGTATTTAAGAACATGGTGGATGATTGCAGTAATATAACAATATATCTTTAGTAGAAATAAAGAAATACTGCAGTAGAGAGATAGTCTGACCCAGAGATAAAAATCTTTCCATGAAAAAACATCCTTTGATTATGTTTCAAGGTTAAGGAAGGAAATCATGCGTAATGTACTGTTTCATCCAGCAGTAATGGGCTCCTAATTATTTTTTATTTTGAGGACTTGGCCTCATCACTCTCCCTCTGCAATGTTGATGAATAAGTTTTAATAGAGGAGGATATTAAAAGGGGAGTTTCTAGAGGAGTGTGTGCAAGAGGTTGTATTTTGGCAATTTGTGCAGCCACTAATGAGTCTGTTATAAAACAGCATTTCTCTTTTTCTGGCGTTTTAGTTATTATGGAGCACACAAGCTGTCAGAGATGATCACTGTGAAACATAAAGAATATATTTTCTAAGCACTAAGTGAAGAATGGAATCCTTGAAATGATCAAGTTTCATGCATTGATGAGTTGGAGCTCTTCCAAATTCTTCTGCTTCAGAGAGGGGTAGAATAGTTGAAGAGTCAGAATGTTTATTTTGGATTTTTTAGGAATCACAATGTAACTGGAAATGTCTGCGTTTGGAAGCAGTGACCAATTAAAATCTACCTCCCAGATGTATGATTAGATCTTGTCAGATCGAACTGCTTGAAAAAAATAAAATGATAAGACGCAAGCAGAAATTAAGAATATGTGGAATTGCTAGGATATGAATTATTGAGACTGATTTATGGATTGTAAATGGTAGATAAAATAAATTAGGATTAAATCCAGATTGATTATTATCACTTACTCTCTCCTGCAGGAAAAGTTCACTTCTAACCTCATTTACAAACAGTGCGAACATGACATTGAAAACTGAGCTCAACGCAATGATGTCATCAATAATCACAACAATCAGGATAAAAGATTTTTCTTTTTTAATAGAGATCATTCTCTCTCAAACCATTATAAAATAGCAATTCATTTATTTACATATAAACAAGTGGCTGTGCAAAATGTACATATTGGCAACAGAGCATCATACATTTGTCTTATTCGACAAATGTATGAATAATTCCACAAATTCTCTCATTTTAAAGTTGGCAACTGATAAATCTACAAATAGCAAACTTAAATATATACAGTCATAAAATCTGCCCATAAACATTCTCTTGTTAAACAACAAAGGGTATAAAGTCCAAAAATTATAATTATTAGAATAATGTGCGCTACAAATATAGAAAGCTATTAAGTGTGTATGTCTTTAGAAAACTGATCTATCAAAGTGCAGTCCACGTTTCTCCCAACGTGACCTCCATCATCCATTCAAATATAAAAATGTTGATGCTCAACTTCACTGAAAAATGTGATTCACTTAAAAGGTTTGTGATCAGAAATATTTTACTGGGATTTCTCCACATACCATTTCTCTAATTTCACATTATAGCATATGAGCTACACAGTGTGGATACTTTACATCACTAACAGCCACTTGAAACTTAATTAAGTAACAGTAACCAATTTATTTTCAATGGTACAAAAAGAAAAGAACTGAATTGAGTCAATATCTTGCCCAAATGCATTTTAGCCAGAAGAAACATTAACATTCTGATTTGAAAAAAGGCTGAAGTTCTTTAAAAAACAGGAATATTACTTTATAGCTTTGATTATTAGTTTGAGAATAAGCATACCAATCCAAATCCTCAGTAATATTTTCATAAAGTGCACGGTTCATTATTCTTGGATCTTCTAAACACAAATGGCACCAGGATATTCAAAGAAAGAAAGTTGAATTGTGTACCATCACTTAAGAAATGAATGGAAACAGGCGGCAGGGGGAAATTAAAAACGACAGGGATGTTAAGTAAACGTAGTCTGTGCTGGACTCTGAATGAAAAAACATACACACTCAGGAACTCGCACAGTGAAAACACTGCAATTCAAATACCAGCAGATATCAACACCTGTGATTACACCATGTGTAATCATGTGGGATTAAACTATGATTGACATACATTATTATTTCCGTTTCCAATCAAGCAAAGACAAAAAAAAAAGAAAAAGAAGCGAACAACAAAATAAAGCATGCATCCTACAAATCTGTTGAGAGCTGATGGATAGATGAGCTGAAAAACACATTATTTGGCTAATTCATATGGCTTCATTTGAACAAGGCAACTCAGCAGAAGACATGATGGGTCATGGGAAGTGTCTGTGAAACAATCCACAGGCATTCAAACTGCAACAAAAAAAAGGTCTAACTGTGCGATAAATTAAAACCTCTGTTAAAAACTTAAATAAACGGAGTGTTTATGTTGTAATGGTCTAGAAAATTAGAAATACTGCAGTTTTGTGATATTAGGCTGCACCTGAATGTTGCACATTAATCTCAAATCGAACCATTATTCATTTCTACCCAGAAGTCAGTGCAATGACACTGAAAAGGCTTTTAAATCTGAAGAGCTCGGTTTGGTAAAATACTTTTTTTTTTCTCCTGTGCAGCGTGAGGCAGTGCATGAAGGAAGAGGGGCTGAGTGCAACTGGTCTCTGAAGAGCAAAGTGAGCTGAGAGGCTCACGCTGAAATCAGGGCCAAGTTTCAATATTTGCTCCATCTCTGTGCTGAAAACACAAAAGGGCTGTGAGCTGAAGAGGCTTTTGAAAGCAGACGTCTCCTCAGCGTTCCAGATAATTCACTTCCCACAGACACACGTCTCCACATTCTGCAGGGGTTGATCAAAGTACCAGCAGAGAGGGTCTGAGCTGACAGTCAACTCTGCTTTCTTAATGCCACTGAGTTAGACTAGTCATTTTAATGCGGGTGCTATTTGAGGAAGCCTTTATAGAGTAGGTGTGAGTGACTGGTCCCTCTTTCATTCTCCAGGCAGAAGAGCAGGTCCCTGAGGTTGACTCTGGTTATGCGCTGTCGCATAAACTGTCTGGAGCCCGCTCCACTGGAGCCCGCAGGCTGGCAGGGCCCTGACCCCGAGCCCTGGACGGTGAAATGGAGCAAACACAAGACAGACATTTAGTCGTTTAATGAGCTCTTTTGTGAATTTGAAAAAAAAAGCCTGTCCACATTAAATACTTCCATGTTCCTCACCTCTGCACTGGCACCTCTAACAGGAGAGTACATTTTTTGTTTTTTCCTTGGGCCAATCGCTGCCAGTGCCGTTAGGTTGGCTTCCCTCTGCCGGATCTGAGCCAGCTCCTGCTGCTGCATCTGGAGGACGAATCACACGGATCAGTCTCACAGTCCAACTCATCAGAATACAATCATATAGTCACTTACGGTAGCATATATTTACCTCTTTGGCCTTTTGTTTAAGTCTGAGCTGCTCCGGGTCCTCTTGTCGTGACCGAGACTGCGGTGATGTAGAGGACATTTTAATATTTCAAGATGGATATGTTCAATTTATTCAATCAATTGTTTTATTCATTCACTCACTCATCGTTAGCATATCTGCTCCCTCGCAGACGAGGAAATGTATATTAATGACACTGACCTGAGATCACTCACTCGCCTTCTCTAAGCAGTTATGACAGAATCGTATAGAGTTACTATACATAGAATCTTACCTTGGCAGCCTTCAGGAGGATCTCTCTCTCCTGCTCTTCCTTCCTCTGCTTCTCCGCCTGATCCAGCTGCTCGAAGAATTTGAGCTGGGTTCGCACATCGCTGACCTGCAGGTGCCGCTCATCCTCCTGAAGGTTAAATATATATAAAGATATAGAGAGGAAGAACAGAAAGACACAATATGAAGAAACTGAAGCAGAGCAAATGGCGACTGTCAGATTAAATAGATAGTAATTAACTTTCACCTTGAAAGTTACGTTCTTCTGCTGCGCCACTACTGACACCTTCTCCAGCAGGCACTGCAGTCGCTGCTGCGTAGCATGGGAAATGAAGTTGATCACATCTGAGCCCAACTCGCTGACACCAAACTTCTTACCTGTCACAATGAGATGGGGGGGATTAAGATTTGAGCAGAATGAGACAGAATCATCCTTTAACACCAGGAAACGAGCCGTACGCGTTTGTGTGTCTTCAGTTTGTGTGTCTCACCAATCTCGAGAGCTCTCCGGGTGAGTGAAGAGGTGGAGAGGAAGGCCTCATCCTTGCAGGATCGAGTCACCGTGCCGACAAGGTCAGAGTTGGTTGCTAAGATACGGGCACTCTCCTCCGACAAGTTGACTCCTGCCATGGAGGCCACGTCGTTGATATCATCATCATCCCTGAAAATAAATGGTTATCCGTTAAAAACAGATATCTCTACTTCATCTGTGTACATCGGTACTTAATAATCTCAATGGCTGTGCTGTTCTCTAGAACTCGAGAAAAATACCCACACGCCTACAAAAATATAAATACTCTTTTATTATTGAATTATTATTATTCACAGCAGGATCAATGCAGCTCATCATATAAATGTAAAACACAAAGATTTAAGCAATTCCTGAGGCCACTTTATTTTATATAGGATTCCAAAATTCAAAGCCCGGTGCTCCAAAGTCTCAGTATCAAATATCCATGGGACAAAGTATAGTATTTAGAGAAATTGAGTTCAATGTAATAAAAGAAAGAAAAAGTGGATCAATGTAAGACCATCTCATTTCTCTAAAGATCTTAGAATCACATAAAGCAGAGCGGACATATTTGTTACAGCACAAGAGTAAATCTCTTCTTGCACATCTCTTGGTTCATAAACAACAGAAAGCAAATAACAGCAGGCGTCTGGTGAGAAGAGTAATTGAAAGAATACATCTTTTAGACAGATGCTGCAGTTAACTCTGATTTGTCTCTGCAGTTTAAATGTCTGTGCCGACACGTCCTAGTTCTTCGCCAGTATATCCAAACACACAGTTGTCAATAAAATCATTGTTTGTTCGTTTTATCACAAGTAGGATTCTGCAGTTCGACTGTGCTAAACCAAGGCTGAGCAGAAACAATCACGTTACGGTGTCACAGTCCTACAGTATGAACCTTTGAGTTACACCTGTACAATCGAATGCACTTATTATTGTCTGCTGACTCATTTCTACTCATTGAAGCTTTACTCGTCTTTAATCGTTGTAAATGCAGAAATACAGTAAGTTCAGTTGGTCTTGACAGGGAGGAGTAAGTACCATGAAATATTACGCAAAACCACTGATGCTTACGAGGTCATTAATTCACATAATTACTGCATTAATTAGAAAATGTGTCAACAAACACAAGGGTAGTCGAATAGAAACAAACAATAAACCGGCACGCTCAAACCAAAAGAGTTTAAAAGTGCATGTGTGACTTATTTACACGACACAACAGCCCACTTAAGGTTTTACAGCTGCACCGTTGAATGAGCAATAAATATGGGATGTGTTTAAATGTCTGGTTCGACACTGGTGAGTCCATGTTCCAATAAATAAAAACTGAAAGCATTGAAACATATTCCTGAATTCTCTGTTTGACTTCTGGTAAATCAATACGCCGCAATTTTTAATTAAACCATTAATTGTTTGGGCGATAAAATGTCAGCAAATAGGGAAAAAAAATCTGATATTAAAAGATTATTTTAGCATCAGGTAAGATAAAAGTCAAGCTGCAAATCTTCTATGAGCTGGAAGTAGTGAATTCATTAAAATTACTAATAATAAGTGAAAAGGTGTCATATTAAATTTTCCGTTGTTTGATAAACTGATTCAATTAATGATCCCATGTATAAAACACATGCCTAATTTACATTAAAAAAAAGTTTATAATTATAAAAGAACATCTAAAAGTGTTGACTACTGGTGACCAATATTTATGCAGCATTTAATCAAATGTGAAACAAACCTGAAGGTTCCTCCTCCTGCTTCCATCAGCCTGTTTTTCTGAGCGGTAGTGAGAAGGGTCTGACTGACGGCCTGCACTCCTTTAGCCCCTGGAACAAACATGTGCCTCACACCTGGAACTAACAGAGACAGAGCTACGGTCAGATTTCTGCTGCTGAGACTAAGAAAATGTAGTTGCAATTTTAAAATTGCCTCAAACATGCATAACATGAATAAAATGATAACTTTGTCCAAGGATATATTTCTGCAGTTATAGACAGTATCCACACGGTGGCAGCCCTTCTGAATTGAACATAGTAAATGGGTGAACCGATGTATTTTGTGTGTTGTTCAGTGACTTTAATTCATTTGTTTAGCATCTGAATCTGTCCACCAATTCTCAATAGAGAACGTATGATACACGAAATAATAAAATAGCGGTCACATTCATTAGCCCTGACTTTACATTCCCACTGACATAGAAAAGTGTAAGAGGCTGTCACACCTGTCTGCAGCTGTTTGACAACCTGCGGCTGGCCCACGATGATGCGGCTATGAGGTTGCCCTCTGAGAGTTACCATGGGAGACTGAGCCATTGTCACCTGTGGCCTCACTACAGTCCCCTGTTGCTGTGGCAAGACACAAAAACGGAAGTGTAAACTTTTACACTTCTATCTGCATGCCCATCACTGAATTCAGATACTTAATAACAACAGTATTACCAGTGTTGATTTACTATGAGGTGTCTGAGTGAGGCTGATGACTGTGGTTTTGGTCGCGGTGGTGTTGGTGGCTACAGCTGTGGCAGTGGAGAGTGGAGGTCGCAGCACCACAGCAGTGAGGGCCTTGGAGGCTGCGGCAGCCGGCTGAGTGCTGGGCTGCGGCAGCAGACTCTGCTGAATGAAGGCCTCTGAGTCTGGGGTCAACTGACGCAGTGCAGGGAGACTTCTCTGCAGGCGGGCCGACAACAGACAGAGTAAATAAACAGCAGCTTAATGAGGTCTCCTTTAATCCACACAGGATACATTTTCAAAGAAACAGCGGTTCAAGATAAATGGTGCGGAGTATTAAACACTGTGCTGGAAACAAAAAGAAGAGGGAGGAAATGTAGTTTACTTTGCACAGTCTTTGTCTAGGTTTGTTTTAAATAAACCATTGAACATCCCACTGGCAAAACAGCAAAGGAGCTATTTGTAATGGTGATTGCTTAGCAGGATGTCCCACTGTTAGATCAGCCAGCAGGGTGGATGTGTTTTTATATTCATCTCATTTATTCAACTTTTTCCTTTAGATACTTTTATATGGACAGAATAATATAACAATTTCCAAATTTGTGATGAGGCAAATTAGTATTTTCTGTCTAAATTGTCTGCCGTGTCTAACATCGTGTATATCTTTCTTTCTTGTTCTAGTACAAAAGCTGTTGTGGAACTGCAGTACATAAATTAACTAACTGTCATTCTGCAAGCTTCTGTTGTACGATGATGATTCTGCATATCAGGAAGTGATGTTAGTGGGATTGAGAGGACAGTTGAATAAATTACAAAGGTCTGCATTTCCACAATCTGTAACATGTTGTATATGTATATCTGCGAGTGCTGATCTCACCTTCAGGAAAGGCACAAGGTACGGCTGTGGTGACGAGTTCAGCTCTTTGTATAATCTACTGGTGAAATCTTCGGGCTCTATCTTTCCTTCCTGTTGTACAACACAAATGAAATGGTGAGAAAGTATGACCAACACACCCATTGGTGCATTTGCTATTTTAACAAAATGGGTGCAGGAAAGGAAAAAAAAAACTGTGTTGGTTTGAAACAACAAACATTTAAGTCACAGGGCCCAGAGATAGTGAGAGAAAGAGATGAAGCATATGATGGAAACATTAGAGAAAGTAAGAAAAGAAGGAAAAAAATTGTACCAGCAACTGTTTGACCAGCTCCTTGACGCTGGCTGTAGTCTCAGAGGACTGTTTTCCACTTGACGCCAGCTTGATCAGTGTGGATAAAAAGTTCCTACACTTTTTCACATTCTCAAGTGTCTCCTACAAAAACACAAACAGCATTTTTCTTCAACACACACATTTAATTTACAGGAGAAATATAGGGCACGACACAACACACTAGAAAATTACATATCTGAGTGGTTTATTGTGTAACTTTCAAGGTTAGTACTTCTCTCTTACCGCTGTGATAGCTATTGGAGCGACAGCGGTCCCAGCGGCCCTGAGGGGCCCTACCCTCTGTGTTACAGTTGTAGCTGCAGATCCAGGCTGTACAGTGGTGGACGTTCCTAGAGGCTGACCCGGGGTGGCGGCTGTTCCTCCCAGCATGATGGTGTTCTGCTTGAGTCAGTGAATATGCAGCCATGAGATGAGATTTTGGAAAATAACAGAGTCAGAATAACATGTCTGTGAATTTTATTCTTCCAGGAAAGAGATAGATGTTTGCCTTGGTAGATATTTTAACACTTTGTGTTTAACATTAGACAGTTCTCCTCTTCCACCCCTACATTACAATAGAGCTCGCAACAACGTGATGGGCAAATCAGACAATGAAAACTAATGATGTTTTAGTGAATGATGCATAAACCTTTAATGAAAATTCCATGGCAACGAAGACAAAAAAATGATTAATTCAACCAGTAAGCAGACAAAAAGGCCTGATTTTCTAGCCTTGACATAAAACCTGCATTTCATTGCAGTTATTTGGCAAAACAAGCTGATAGCTAAGCCTTTTTTTTTTTTTTTTTTAATCAAGCATTCAAATTCATTAAGGAAATCTATTTATTGGCATAAAGCCAGTCAGCAGGATATTCAGAGCAAATGGTTGGCTTTAAATTTGGAGTTTGCTGTCTTTATATTCTACACAGGTAATAACATACCCCAAATGGGATGTGTGGTGGCGTTACCTGTAGTACAGGCGGTCTCTGCAGTTTGGTGGTGGGCGTCACGGTGGTCTGGGCTGTGGAACCTTGTTTAATAATAGTGGTGGGGGCCACTGAACGAGCCAGCAGTGACGTGCCTGGAGCCTGGAGAACAGCAGGAGATATGAGAGGAGGTGTTATGCAAGACAATTAAAAAAACGAGTGCACTACTTAAGATTTAACTTTTTACATAATTGCACTTTTTATATGCTGCTTTTCAGTTTAGTAGCAAAGAAATGATTCTCATTTTTTTTTCAGTAAATTATTTTAAGCAGGTGTGGCAGTTTTTCCACTGACAGTTTTTGATCATTTCTTTCAGTTCCCCAACTCAGTTTAAAGTTGGATGCAGAACTTCACATATGCTCAATAAAACCTGTTCATTTAAATTGCTCCTTTACCGTTCAGCCAGATCATGCATGTGAAACCATCTGCCAAAATATAATGAAATCAGACTGCAAATTAAAATGAATTCAATCAACTAGGTGTCTTTGTTTAGAATTTATAGCAACATGTGGTTGATTTATTATTTATCAGACAGTAAAATTGTACATAATGTATCACACAGTGTGTCTAAGTTATGTATATGAAACATTTGCAGGGTGACAGTTTAAAGTGTGTTCTTTATTGTGACTGTGTACAATATTACTGTGATGGGAGGCTTGTGATATACTGCTCAGGTCGAGTGTTTCATTTTCCTGAATGATACCTAAACTCAGGAAATCAGTTGAGACAGAGAACAGATCTACCATGTATGCTTTTGTTTCTGTTTCAGTTAAAATCTGATTACTTCAGTGTGGGACTGACTAGTACAATTCTTCAGCAGTACATGTAACATAACACAAGGATGTAACTTTACATCATTTCCCAACTATAAGTGCAGATATTTTTACACTAAAATCCTGAATAAGTTAATCACTTTTTTAATTAAATCATAATTTCAAGTAAATCAGATCTGCGCATCACTATTAGTCACATTTTCTTTTTGCGACGCAGCCATGTGTTCGGCTGTCCTGATACCTGTAAAGAAGTGATCTGGACAGGTGGAGTGCTTGTGGGGGCTGCAGGTCGTGGTGTCATGGCGCTTTGCGACTGCGACTGAGCCTGCATCTGAGCCAAGGTCTGCTGGTGAATCATCAGCAGCTGCCCACTCTCACTGCGAACCAGGACCATGCCTGCAGGAGGCAAACGTCAGGGGGGTTAAGATGTCCTGATCAGTCTCATCAATTTACTGTATGGGCGTTTATGTAAGGAGTTTCTGTCATGAGGCGTTATGAATTATTCATGTGGGTCTTCCCCTGATCATATATACAGAGATTTCAAACCAGTCAGTCACAGATCAAACAACAAATCAAAAGCATTTCAAGCCCCAACACAGTGTTTAACTAGAGCCTGTCAACATCCTCATCTTAACAGCACAAAGTTAAACTTTACTCTTGCTGCCGAGTCTTTATTGTAGGTGTATGGTGTTTTGCCGGTCTGTTAACTAAGAGGTGATTCAATGTGTGATAAAACACAGAGCGTCAGTACACAGACAATACGGTACACTGACTGAAAAAGTAGTCTCAGGTTACAGAGAGGACATGCATGAGAATCAAGCAACAAAATAAGTGGTTTTGAGCTGAGTTGCAGAAGGATACATGTCATTAAAAGTTGTGTGCCAAAAAGTTGTTAAATGATGTTGTTTGTTGTGGTCAGAAAAGAACTGATTTCCTTTCAAAGACATAAATACTGCCTAATGCTAAATAATCATTATCCTGTTAAGAGCCTAAAGTTAAAAACAAAAGATGCTAATTAAAATTCTAACACAATCCAAGCTTAGAGACAAGTCTAATCATGAGTAAACTGTTTATAAGACACATGCTGGATAAAGAGTTTAAAGTAAATAGCTGTTTACTTGAGAACAATTTGATATTGTCTCTGACGAAACAAAGTAGTAAGAATCAATGGATTTGCAGGGCTCTTAATCACATCTGCAATTAGTACTTTGCACGTTTCTAATCAGCTGGTTGTGGCTCCAGAAGACAATCAATTCTGTGTCATATCTGATTATGATATTGTTGCTTGCAGCCTAAAGAGTCAATCCTGTCTGACTTGTTGGAGAAAACTCTTAACCCTCTTAAAGTGGTTGTTACTTAACCTGAGGGAGCTGGATGTTTTGGATATTTGGAGAATTGTGTCACCTATGCATTGAACCCTGTATTTCGCAGAAGTAAAAAGTGTAAAGTCATTATATTATCTTTTTAATTCTAGGTCACTACTCCTTTCTCCTCCAGGATTTAGTGCACATTATTGCCAAACCACAACGAGTGAAGCAACATATGTGGGCGACATGAGTTCGACGCAGGAAAAACTGAGACACCGAGTTTAGAAAAAGGGAAAACATGTGACTGGTTCTGTTCTGATGAGGTCATGAGGACAACTTTTTATGTCTGGACTGATGTGGGCAGTAGGGTAATTATGATGTTGATGCCATTTCTCTCTGTGGCGCAGGAGAAGTAGAACTGGTGGCGCACTTGGCGCAAGTGACAGACAAAAATTGATCATGTTTGCAGCCTAAAGAGTCTGACTTGGAGAAAACTCTTAACCCTCTTGAAGTGATTGTTACTTAACCTGGAGGGAGCTGGATGTTTGGGATAGTTGGGCCATTTTGTCATCTGTGCTTTTAACGCTGCATGACGCAGAAGTAAAAAGAGTAAAATCTTTATATTAACTTTTTAATACAAGATAACTTCTCCTTTCCCCTCCAGGATTCAGGAGAGCTGCAGAGCTGTGAGCAGCAGGTGGACAATGGCGGACAAACATCGGCATGTTTGTAGGGTTATCAACGTTTTTTAGTGCATATAGTTGCCAATCATAACCAAGGAAACGCCAAACGTGAAGTAACATTTGTGGGCTACATAAGTGGACACAGGAAAAATTGAGACACTGAGTTTAGAAAAGAGGAAACCATGTGACTGGTTGGGTTTGGATGAGGCCATGAGGACAACACTATGTCTAGATGTGTGCAGGGGAGTAATTATAATGTTGATGCCATTGGTCTCTATGTCTCAGGAGAAGTAGAAAGAGTCAATCCTTGTTGGAGAAAACTCTTTATGCTCTTAAAGTGGTTGTTACTTTACCTGGAGGGAGCTGGATGTTTTGGACATTTGGGGGATTTTGCTGGGGCTGAGTAAGTCGAGGGGCCAACACCTGCGGAGCAATGGCTCGTACCCCCCCGGGAGTAGGAGCGGCGGCTATCGGCACTGAAGTCCTGGGGTTCTGCAGAACCGTCGGGCTCCTCACGGTCGAGCCCGTCGCTGCAGTGGAAGTCTGCACTACTGTCTTGGTGGAGTCCCACTTGTTGACAACAGATCCGGCCGGTGCTGTCACAGCTGAAGCGCTTTGCGAGGCGTTAGTGGGAGTTTGCATAGGCGGCCTCACAAGCGTGACCGTGGGGACAGTTTTCACGGAGGGCTGAGAGGGGATCACAGGGGAGGTCACGGTGGAAGAAGAAGTCCGTATAATGGCACCGGATGCCGCAGACACGGCTGCTGGGATAGGTCCGTTGTTTACACGAGTGACAGCTGTCTGCGTGCTGCTGACGGGGACGTGACACCTTACCACCACGGTGCCTCCATTCAAAGTTTCAACACCGGCAGCCGCAGGTTTCCCAACTCCGGCTGCTGCATCTGAGGCGACCGCGACGATTCCGCTCGCCGCCGCAGACTTGGGATGACTCTGCGCGGGTGTCATGCTGGGTCCCGCCGGTGATGGGGTCCCATCCATGCTCGAAAACGTGGGACCCCCACCCGCACCGCCAGTGACAACTCCGAGCACTCCTGTAACAAGGAGGGGGTGTCCGAAAACTCCGGAAACAAGTTAGCTCCAGCAACCAAAACAAGCTAACGTTAAGCTAACCGCAGCGGGCAGCTATCTTCCCCGCTTCAGCGAGCTTCTAGTTGAGAAAGTCCCATTCTCCGCCGCCCTGGACGGTTGAATCTCTATCTGTAGCCGAGTTGCGGACGCGTTTCGCCGCAGACTGGACCCTGACTGTCGCGTGGACGTGACGTGCTGCCGCTAGCTCGCACTCCGGAGACGTGTTCGCATCGCTCGCTACTTTTCCGCGCACCTCTCCGCCTAGTAAACACATCACCCAGCGACTCGCAGCCCGCCGCCATCTTTGACCCCCGGCTACGCTACGCTGCGTTGGACGCGTGTGCCGATTGGCCGCAGCCCCCGTGACGCGGCACCGTCGGGCGCTGTGATTGGCTCGTGCGGGGAGATAAATCCTGCAGTGTGGAGCGAACCACGGGAAAACAAAGCGTCTCCTCGCGGAGCTGCAGCTGAGGACTCCTCATCTCACCGAGGAAACTCTGTGGGAAAGTTTCTGCAACACGTCCCTGCAGAGCTGCACACTATCGAAGCATGAAGCAGTCACTGACTGTATCTTGTAGGACTCAAAATGGCTGCTTTCTTGCCATTTCTCGCTTTCAGACAAGCAGCAGAAACAGAATTTTGTTGACAAGCAGGTTTACGAATACAAGGACTTTGCTACGATGCATTTGTGCAAGTGTAGATATAAATGATCAAAGTTGCGAATTTATTTGTTTTGCACATCTTATAATTCATATTTATTTATTATAGTCATGTTCATACCTTTACTTTTGCAAACAACTACAATTTTGCACTTTTGTCTCTTTTGTTGTCATCTTTTGTATGTAGTCTTTTGTTCTTCGCTCTATGTGCACAATAATCTATTTATTTATCTATCTATCTATGTAAAGTGTCAGAGTCACACCTTGTTAATGAGGCCAGCAGCATCAATGTCTAAGTCTTGCAAGCGCATAAAAAGCAATTACCAGACGTGATATACTCAAGACGTATTGTCACCTAAACATTTATTTGCATCACTCGCTCAAACACAAATAAATGTCTCAAAGAATCATAACTAAATTAAATAATCGGATCTTGAGAGTAGATTGGGGCATGACGTCACTCAGCCAGGTGCGGTTCAGTCAATCAGTGGGCGTGGTTTTTAGTCACGTGTGCAAACCTATAAATACTTCCTGGTTGGACCCGTGGTGTGGACGCTGTCACACCATGTGAGGTGTCGGGAAGTTTGCACGCAGCAGTCCTGAGCATCCTGCAGCCATGAGTTCAGATAAGCCGTACATCGGCTGTAAAATAGGGTTAATCTCAAGAGCCCAGAATCGGTACGAGGGGATTTTGTACACGATCGATAAAGTCAACTCCACAGTGGTGCTGGCTAAAGGTGAGTGTTGACAAGCCTGACACATTCAGATATGGCTGTCAGTTTGCACACTTTTCTCAAATGTTGTATTTTCACCAGTGAAGTGCTTTGGAACAGAGGGACGACCCACTGACAGACCAACGCCACCCAAAGAGGATGTTTACGAGTACATCACTTTCCGGGGTAGCGATATTAAGGACATCACACTGTGTGAACTTCCAAGATCCCATCACGGCCTGCCTGCAGACCCTGCGATAATACAGGTATACTAGATCAGCATGGCTCACAGCCCATACAGTTAGATAACGTTAAAGTGGAAACTGTATATGAAGACCAATAAAATGTGAGTTTAATAGTTCTAACATCTTTTAATCAGTCATCCAGTGCAGGTCCTTCAGGCCTCTGTGCAGCTCTTGGACCATTTAGCCCCATGAGGATGCCCGCCTACAACCAGCTTGCTGCCAGCTCTCTACTTAATCAACAGTATGCTGCAGCTCTTGGCCTTGGTAAGTCAAAGAGCAAAAATTCCTAGTAAACTGATAACCCTACTTCCTTATTTTGGCTGATATCCCAGTATGCAACTTGTTTAAATACTGGAGTATTTTTGTTTTATTCCTCATGTAGGGCCTGTGCTTCCAGGCTTAAATATCAGAAGGGGCCCCATGGTGGAAAAGGCTGTTCAAACCCTTAATGTAGAAAGATACAGGCAGAGGGGAGGCTTGTCTGCATCCCAGGAGCAGGAGCAGTGGTGGGACAGGAGGTGTCCCCAAAGGACCAGAGTTGAGGTTTCCAGAACCACACGGGTCCCGGGAGCCATTTGTAAGCATGCACGATTGCAATGATAAAAGCTAAATACAATATAATATGTTCACAATTAATATTTAGAAACATGTTAGCATTGTGAAGGGACTTAAAGGGGATTCTTTATGTCTATTTGTGCACTTCCAAGTGATCTTCAATTTTTTAAATTTAAGCAAAGTTGAGCCAAGTTGTGCCCAGACCTCAACAGGAAACTCGGCTACAGAATGATGAAAATAGGCCACAACCCCGAAGAAGACAAGGTAATCATTAATGTACGTGTTTGTAGTCAAATCCTGAATTTTCTAATAATAATTTAACAAAAAAATATTTTGAAAATTCCAGGACCTCGGAGGCGCAGGAACCACAATAGAGGACAGTTGATGGCAGCGAATATTCCAGCTCCCACCCTGAAGTTTGACACAGACTTTGATTTTGATTCCTCAAATGCACAGTTTATAAAAGAGGAGCTGGAGAGGGAGGGGCAGGACAGGACGACTGTGAAAGGTTGGTTCAATGCACACAAATGCCTCAATTTTCATTTCCCCTGGCGTGTGAAGGTGTACAGTCATTGCTCCTTGTTGCAGGTCTGCTCAGAATAACCTAAATTGTAGGTGTAGTAGCTCAGCGGCAGATTTGGTCAATGTAGTGACAGTTACAGCCATTTTGCATATTGCCTCCAGGGTCCATGACACGAGTTTCTGTCTGCAGATGGAAATCATCAGGTAGAAGAAAAGGAAAAGGAGGAATTGCACTCAACAGCAGAGGATGATCCTTTTGGACCAAAATGCTACTATGACAAAGCAAAGTCCTTCTTCGACAACATCCCATCTGATAATATGTTCAGGTAAACATCTGGTGTTTTTTTTATCATAACACAATTTGGGTCTGTTAGTAGATCTACAGTTTTGTGCCTATTTTCTGCTGTCAACCTGTTTCAGATTAACATGGGCAGAGGAGCGGAAGCGCAATCTGGAGACTTTCGGGGTCCCTGGATGGTTTCTGAGGGGCCGTGGCTTCAGAGGTGGATACACTGGACCAAGAGGACGGGGCTCTGCTCAGACTCGACCTTCTTACAGAAGCAGGAGTGGACAGCTGTAAAGGTCAGCATATGATACCAGGGCACTAAAGCAAAAAACCTCTTGTGAATATTTCCCTTACTGGGGCTGTTACCATGTACCAGTCTCTCTGTGTTTTTGTCATAACGCGCAATATGAGCAGCTCTGTTGACAGTGCATGAAAAATTATTTTTGTTTTTCCACCTTAGTCAGGATCCTGCATCCATAGATTTATTTTCATCTGTCTCCAGTTTGCATATGGATGCATTGCACTTGCAATTAATCTTCCCCTCAGGATATTTGCCTGAATATTTTTTTTCAATTATTAAATGGGGAATTGAATTTATTTTTGTTTATAATTTCACTCCTAAAATTGTTTTTTTTTTCATGTTCAAAGTAAGTATCGCATCTTGAATACTCATCATAATTTGTAATTATATTTCATAAAATGTAAATTGTGAATATTAACATAAAATGAACTGAACTTAAATGTATTTAAAGGTTATATCTTGGTCACTGCTTTATTCTGTTGTATTGAATCAACAAGTGAAAATGTTAATAAAGGGGAAAATGCTGATCCGCTTGTCTCACGTTCTCTGAGGCTACTACAGTACACAGTTCATACAGGTCATATCAATAAATGGAAAAGTTGGGTGGAACCATAAAGCTCATATGTTCTGTTGCAGGCAGACACTTAACTCGTATTTTGCTCAGGAGAAGGTAACGTTTTTTTGTTTTTCACCCTTTACATAAAACAAATGCAGTCTGATTATGGAAAACAAAATGTATTGCTGCAGAAACTTCATATGAAAACTGAGCTGAAGTTCTGTGTGTGGTGTTGTAAAAATTGGTTTGAGACGGGTTTGAGACGGGTATCATAATATGACATTTTTCTTTTCTTTCTATATGTGCTAAAAAAAAAACTTTTGCAGCCACTTACCCCAATTGCTCTTTGGAGGTTTTGCGCACAATATGGACTGATTGACTCTCATGACTCAAAGGGTACCTCGTCTACAGTGCAGGAAGCTGGTAGGCTACTCACTGTCTGGACTATACCACAAACAGAGGGAGAGGGATTTCACTCTAGCATGTAGCAGTTAAATAAATATAATTATTTGCATGCACACCACGAACAACACATCCAGCATCATTATATCTTTAATTGGATTCAGAGGCTTTTGCTGTTTTTCAAATTTCCTTCCCTGATAACAGAAGGCTGGCTTTGTCAATACCCCTATTTCCCAGAAATGGAGAAACTACCCAACCAAATAGAGGGCAGCGCTCAATATAATAAATATTCGAGTAAAAGAAGCGCTTTTATTTCACATATGACAAAATGTCGGTGGCGTTTTCGTCGGCGCGTCCTAGGAGTAAAGGGGAGGTGACGCAGCAGACGATCCAAAAGGTAAACCACAATCCGGACGCACGGACGTGGTGTTGTTGGATGCTCCTGTCCGTCGGTGTGGATGGATGGATGGATGAGGGGAGTGACAATCCGTCGCCAGTGCAGTGAAAGTGGTGAACATCAGAAGAAATGGCAACTGGTATAGTAGCGTTACAGTCGAGTGCAGGTGCAAAGCCAAACAAAGCCAAGACGGTGCCGGAGGCGAAAGCTTTTTACGCACAGCTCTCAGGCGGGTTCCTTGTGATGCTGCAATTCTGGCGTTTGTTCCTCAACAAATTAGTGTTTAATTGTATGTGAAATCGATCAGATTTAAATTGTTTGCACATTTTAAATCACAGCGTATTTGCTGGATTGTACGGACGCAATGATTAAAGGTGCATCAGCAGACAGCGTCTCATTTGATCGTGAATATTATTGTGGACACTCGCTTTATTGGAAGAAAATCTGTTAGTGTGTGTAAAGGCAGGGTCGTGTGGGGTGGAGAGAAACTGAGCAACGGCACAATCATCTCCTGCTGCTTTTACCCTTGACTGAAACATTCTGTTAAAAAAAGGCACTACTCATCTATGAAAGTAGATTTCAAGCGGTGTCCTAAATAAAGACTGAGAGGCTGCTATTTGATTTGATTTCATTACGGAACAAAAAATAGATAAAACTGACCCAGAAAAATGTTCCAGTCTGGGTGAAGTTCTCAGAATCGGGAACATCATCACTGTAATGTCTTAAAATGAAGTATTATTGTGTATAATGGAGAATGCACTATGCCTTCAGACACAACTGCAGTTGTTTTATTGTCTCCCAAAGATGCTGGATGAAAATCATTATTTAATACAATGTATAATGGATTACCAAAGCAAAGGGAAGACGGCTGAATGCACACAGTAAGTCTCACTTTTCTCCCTCCCTGACCAATGCCTTGCAAATGTCCCATTAAAGCAAATGTGATGAACTAAAGCTGGTGTGTTTTGAAAGGTATCAGCAGGTCCTGCACAGAAACCTGGTTTACTTGGCCACAATAGCAGATTCAAATCAGAACATGCAGTCACTACTTCCTGCGGTGAGTCCTTCAGGAAAAATTCTCTCAGCAAACCATTTCCATCATATTTTCCTTTATTGTTAAATTAATCTGTTCCATGGCATTAAAGGAAGTTGGAACAAGTTACTCACTTTCTGTTTTCCATGTACTTTGTCCTCTTTTATTCTAAATGTGTACATCACTGAGTCAATACAGGAATGAGTAAAGGAAAATATGTTCAGAAAAGCAAATATAGATGCATACTTTGTAAAACAAATCTTAATGACCACATTGTCATTCAGTTGTGTCTGCCAATAAAGTTATTAAATGTGCATCTCGACCTGTTAGCCTCCCACTCCCAGTATGTCCATTGGTCCTGGAGGGATGGGTCAGAGTGGGGGACACGCTCAAAGCAACCTCAACGACACCATGGCACCAGGATTGGCCCCCACATCGATGATGCAGAGCCAGATGAGCAATGGTGAGAGTTCAAACTTGGTGTGTGCACACATACAGCTCCATGTTGTTGTCCTTGTTTGAACCTCACCTTGCCGCATGTTGGTCTGAAGATACAATACCATGTCCTGTCTGTCGTGCTGTTGTATCTGCCTCTCCTCTTTACTGCCTGCGTGTCTATGGTCTCACGTTCATCTGACAATCTGATAGTGTATTTGCAGGAATAGCAACCTTTGCTTCCTTTATTTCCTCTCATCCTTATCTAAACACATCATTAACACTCATCTCAAGAATCTATCCTTGCATAAGGTCCTGTTAAAGATGAACTGAATGTGGGTCCATGATTAATGTGGTAGCACATGGGAACGAGTGCTGGCTGCTCTGACTGTGCATGTGTGTCGTCAGGCCCAGGCCATGCCCCCATGCAGCAGCAGTCTGGTCAGACGCAGTCGGCCCTTCCCTCGACATCCCTCAGCCTGCCAGCCAGCAGTTACGGTGGCTCGGCCTCCGGCTACAGCCATGCTGCCCCTTCCTCCCAGGGCAGCATGATTCAGGGCCCTGGTCCTGGTTATGGCTCTTCCTCTTCCTCCTCCTCCTCCCGCAACAACCTCAACATGCAGTCCAACCAAGGTGAGCCAGGTGAAGAAGAGCCCAGTAATCAGATTTTTAATGGAAGGGAACAGTAACAAGATGCCTAATTTTATTTTGGTATGATACAAGATTTGGGAATACGATATGACAGGAAGGGAGTGATGAAAATAATGTTCAAGGTTGAACCATACAACCATAAACTAGTTGGATGATGAAAATATCTCCCAATGCGACCATGACAAACTCCCCCTTGATCTTTCTGAAACGCATTTGCTTACCTGGATACACGCATTCATCAATCTGTAAATCCCGACCAGTCAATGCAGCGTAACAATCAAAAACAGCCAGACACATTCAGTTTATCAGAGGTGTGCTGCCTCCTCCCTTCTTCCTTCTGCTCCAGGCTTTACCTCTTCTGATCTCTGACCCCTGACCCTGAGATGCAGCCCTCCTCTCCCTGGATGTCTGTGTGTATTTCCTGCACCTCTGTTTATGCACTGACTTCCCTGGCTTTGTTTGCATTTAATCTCCAGAGCAGCATCTTGGCCACTGATTGCTCTGGACCCATTTTGGCTTTATCCCTGTGCCCTTATTGGCATGGCCCTCCTTCTACACTTGTTTATTTGTCAGTGTAATTTTGCACAGCCTTAGTTCCCTGAATGTTGTGTATGCTGTTGAATACTGAAATGTGCATAGAGTTTGTCTGTGTGTATTAATGTATGAGATCTCTCCACAATCCCACCTCCTTCCTTTAGTCTCCATGATGCAACAACAATCTGCCACTCCGCATTACTCCTCAGCTCAGGCTGGGGGCCAGCACTATCAGGGACAGCAGGCCATGGGCATGATGGGTCAGGGCAGTCAAGGAAACAGTTTGATGAGTCAGAGGCCCATTGGATCCTACCGCTCTTCACAGCCAGGTAGGTGGTCCATGTTATTTTGGTTGAAGGAGACATATCATGCTCACAATCAGGTTCACATGTTCCTCATACTGTCCGTCGCTGCAGCTCCTCTTTTCATCCTCTGCCCAAAATGCTTGGTTTTAGCTCCCCTACCTTAATTTGTATGGGGACGTGCCAGACTACCTGCCCGATTGTACATCATGCAAATATTACTTCTTCACGATTCCCTAGAAGTATCGGGCGGACTGCTGATGACGCGCCTCAGTGTTTTCTCTCTCTTTTCACACTTTTAACACACACAAAAACCTTTTTAACACACAAGAGGAAAGAAAATCTAAAAAAGCACAATATGTCTCCTTCAAACAGTGGGCTTGGTTTGTTTGTGGTGTGTTTGAGTGACTACATATGTTGGTGGATGGATGTGACTGTTGTCAGAACTACTGTTTTCTGTCCCCTGATAAGTATTTTAATTGCATCATGGTATTAATTAGTAACCATAAAGTGAGAGCAATATTAAAAGTGTACTAATGAATCCATCCCAGCTGCCTTCCTGCTGCTTTAAGAGGTAGCCTGGCGATGTATCACTCACATCACATTAAGTTCCTGTCTTTGTAAATCACTTAACGTGTGCTGTGTCAGCGTGTGCCTAATAATAGCTGCACCCTGCCCTGTTATATCTTTTGAAGACGAGACACATAGTAGCTCTGATGTATAAAAAGAATTGAATACTGTTTCCAGAGCAACGGGCCATGGTTGTGAGCCCTCATTCAACCTGGTGCCCTGTTATCCCTGCATGACTGGGTGATGTAGGCCCAAATAGAGCCGCGCTTCAGAATTGTTTCGTCCATTGTTAACCTAGGTGACTCGTCCAGCCTCATCCCTGATTGGTTGTGGGTCTGTTGCTAGGGTGTCTGTATCAACTGTGGCTCCTTGGTCATATTGGGACATGTCAGATAAGTGTTTTTTTGCCATCGCTGCTGAGGTTAAGATGAAAATGCTTTTGTTTTCGTCCTGTAGTTAATGTCTGTATTTGTACACTATTTGGTCCTTCGTGGTTTAGAGAGAAGATTAGGCTGTGCCTGGGTCTTTTGCTGCATATTCCAGAGAGTTTTATTTTGTTCTGTTGGTTTTGTGAGTACTTTTAGATAAAATTGTAAAGGTAGAGTGAAGGAGTGGAATCTGGAGTTTCTGCACACCACCATCAAGCAGAGAACAGATGCTCCCTGATAGCTGGCTTTCTGCAATCCTCATTTTTCCTTCAAATTACATCTTGTACAATTTTTCCATGGAATTATTTATTGAAATTGTTCCACTTTAGTTAGTGTCTCTAAGTTTGTGTTGGTCGGAATTTGTCATATTTTTATCACACCCCCTCCACTAAAATGGTCCAATATAAAATTGTAATAAAATATTTAATATTAATCTATAATACTATCATTTGTTAATACTATCATCCCGTTTTGCCTCAAATATAAATGATGACTCCTAAGAAGGTTGTCAAATAACAAAACAAAATTGTCTGTTGCAACTTTTCTCATTATTAATACACACACATGCTCACACACTCCTTCAGAGAATCTAAATTGTGATCTGGCGCATCCCCGTTAGTCTCCAACTGTTTAACCATTCGTGGTGTCGCCTGTCTTGCAGGATCTGCACAGCAGTACATGGGACAAGACGAGTTCTACGGAGAGCAGTATGGACACACTCAGAGCTCCAGCGAGCCCATAAACCAGCAGTATTACCCTGATGGTAATCATGCACATCCATAAACTTTACACACACAGCTCTCAAACATACAAATCCCCATTATAGGTGATGCCATTTCCTTTTACCGCAAGCCCACAGGCCTGAGCCTTATTTACGACCGTGCTGAAGCTTCCACTCTAATGCCCAGTCATTGTCCTTTTTACCTTAACTGTGGGAGATGAAAAGTATTGAAAAGAAATTGCAAAAGACTAACATTGGTCTTAATTATTTTTTCTCCCACTGTGTCTGTGTCCATACTGTCCCCTTTGGTGTGCCGGAATTTCAGATTTCAGTCAGTTCTGTAGCAGTTGTGTTTAGGAGAGAATGCATTTTTAACCCGGGGTGTTTCTTTGTGCTTTGTGCATAATGCTGAAGTGAGACGCCTTGTAAAATGTCTGTGGTTGTCACTTTGTTTTTACCTGTGGGAACATTTCACATTGTTGGTAATGTCTCTTCTGTGTGTAAGTGGATTTTATCTTTGCGGAGGAGTTGTTGCATGTGTTGAATCATGTTCTCTGCAGGTCACGGAGAGTTCTCATATCAGCAGTCTTCATATGGCGAGCAAGGCTACGACAGGTCATTTGATGAATCCTCACAGCACTACTATGAAGGAGGTAACAGCTTTTTTTGTCTGAGGGCTTTTTAACCAAAACTTTAATAAAGGACTAACTCACAGATGTAACAGCTGACAGATGCTTATGCATGTGCACCTCCAGGTAACTCTCAGTACAGCCAACAGCAAGCCCAGTATCAGCAGAGCTCTGGCCAGCAGCAGCCCTTCAACCAACAGCAGTACTCGTCTCAACAAGGATACACAGGACAGCCACAGGGATACGGTTAGAAACATCTATCGACTACAGTATTTTGTGCATTCAAACAAACAAACATAAATGTGTAACAGAATGAGGTAGTAACTTGAGTGTAACCGCTCCTCTACAGGATCAGGCCAGGGTGGATCCTCCCAGTATGCTCAGTATCAACAGGGTCAAAGCCAACAGTATGGTTCCTATCGCTCGTCCCAGGGTGGCCCTGGTGCACAGACGCAGAGGCCCTACGCCTATGAACAGGTACATGAGTAATATCTTTTAGTAATTTATTAAAAATTAAAANCTTACCACAACAGCTTCATGCCATTATCTGATTTTCCATGTTAAAATATTTGCTAATGTAGGTGCAAACTGTATAACAAGAAATAAAACCTTTCTTGATCTAGACTAAGTTTTCTAACTCAAATATTTGTGTGAGATCCAATCCAGCCTGTCAGTGTGAATCTTCTTACATTGCAGGGTCAGTATGGAAATTATCAGCAATAAAAGCAGCACATAGTTTCCCCGCTGGAAGAAAAGATGAGACGCGCTGTGGATTAGAAGACCTGCCTGCATCAGATTCATCATCCTTTCATTACGGCATTGATTTTCATTTTTATAGAGTAAGAAAAATTGCTTTTTTATCAAGTAGCGTATAGAAACAAGGCTAAGGTTAATGTCGACTTTTCATATGGAGGAATTTAAGAACTTAAAAGGAGCAGTTACGTCATTAGATTAACCTCAGCATCCAGCCTATGTCCTTATCTTCTTTCTGTCTCTTTGCCTTTCACTTGTCTCTGTTCGCTCATCTTTATCTCATCCTCTGCTTTTATTTCACTTAAGAAGCCTTTTTTTCTTTTTGTTCTTTTTTGGTGCACAGAGACATGAGTCTGTGGTTTGAGAGACTGTGGCTATAAAAAGCAAACTGGCCTTGAGCGAAATGCTCCTTAATATATATCTAATAGACTCGGTCCAGATTTGCTTTGACTCCTGTCGACTCACTTTTATATCTCAAGCTGATGGAAATGAATTCTATGAAGGTGAAAACCTGATTTGATCAGGGTGGTTTGTCTGTGTTAGTTGAACTGTGACGTGTTGCTGTGTGATCTAACATTACGTGTTTTCACTCTACATATGTCTACATGGTTGACAGCTGACTGATCAAGACTCAAGTGTGTTTATCATTGTCCCTGATGATCAGACGCTGTGGTTGTATTTATGACTCTTATATATGAGCTCAGAGGTGTTATACTAAAATTCAATAAGGATTTTACATTACATTACCACTTTGTCTCGCACTTTAATTTATAGTGACAGTATGTGTATTATTTGATATTTCATATTCTAGTGCAATTCAGCCTGTTTTATTTTATTTCTTTTTTTTTTAAACGAATGATCCTCAAAAAGCCAAAGTAACACAGGAACAGAACAGTAACATGTCCTGCACCTCCGCTTCAAAAAGTGCAATACACTCAGTCAGTCATGTTGAGGTTGGCTCTTATAAACTTTCACTTTATGTTTGTAATGTCTTGTCTTATAATCATGACAGTGACTATGTTTATTTCATGTGATGGAATGTGTTTTTGAAGCATCATATTTAAGAAATGTATTTAAGTTATTTATGTGTCTTCTGAACAGAACAAAACTCTTCCCTTCAGCTTTTTGTCAGTTAAAACTTTAGCGATCATCTGTAATGTATTAGATGAAGGAAGTAATGCTAAAAATTGGACAGAGGGGTATATGAGGTTAGTTTTTATTTTTTAGATGGTGTACAAGCACACTTGCCTTATTTTACATATGTATTTATTTTATCATCTGTCTGTCCATCATTCTGTGATTTAATAAATAGGCATATATTGTGATGTATTGATTTAAAAGAAATCAGACACGCATCTGGTCACTTTAACTGTTTCCTCCAGTTAAATCAGTAAAATTGATTATAAAGGATTATTTGTGTGAGTTCAGCTTTGCAGTATATCCTGTAGTAACTCTGCGTACCTCAGTGGGGAATGAACACAACAGATGCAGTCAGTTTGCAGGGTTAATCGAGAATGAGAGATACCTGGCTGTCAAACAGCTGAATAACAATGTACAACTCAAAAGTGACAATCACAGGCTTCTCTGTACTACAATGAATCTGTGTCAGTGTTTCATTTTACTGTGACCTGAACATGTACAATATGACAAGTATTTTCCTGTTCTCTGTCGTGTGTTATCACTGATGTGGCTTGTATGCCTATGTTTGTGTGTGTGTGTCTGTGTTTGCATGTGTGGTAAAGAGAGAGAGAGAGCGACAGAGAGAGTGATAGAGAGTAAGCAGGAGGAAGCCAAGTTTGGTGTGTATAATCCAAATATGAATCTTATCTACTTCTCTATTCTAAGATTGCTTTGCCTGATCTTTTCTGCTGTCTTTTGTTACTGTTTGTTATAGAAAAATAAATTGACATTCACCTTTTGTACGTCTGCATTTTGTGTATTTGTTACAGAAATGTCACAAGTCACATGTAATAGTAATGTCGGAATTCTTACCACACTTAGTATAGTTAGTATAGTTAGTATTGCTTATTAGTATAGTTAGTAGTATGTGTGTGCTGTCAAGATCTTGTTTGTTTACTTATGTTCTTCATTCAGGGTTTCCAGGTTCAGTGGATTAAGCGGGGTATTTAATCTAAATAATCAAAAAAGATTGAGAAGAAGTACACATTTATTTAATCTCACCCGTTCTCCAGAAGTCATTAATTTTCATCTTATACTTATACTTAACCAGCTTCC